AGCTTTTTACATTACTAATTACTATATACTTAGTAGTTAGAAAATAGCCCATAAGTCATAGCAATAGATATCGTCAAAATACAATGAATGAAAAGTACAGATTTATTCTAATGTTCTCCATTTCTATTTTTGGCTCAGTTATCCCCTCAGAGAAGAGGTTAGTACTAGAGGGAGTTTGGTGGTTTAAACAGGGTATCTGACTCTTGATCCTGGCTTATTTCAGACCCATTGGACTTGGTGCATTTACCAGTTTCTAATCTGATTAAATATTTGTATTCTTTTGAATAAATCAGAAATGTAGCACACGTTTGCAGTTGTTAACCTAATCTTACATAGCTTTTTCTCTGGTAATATTACACTAATAACTAGAGCTAGACCAATACTCAAACACAGCTCATCAGTCTGGAACCCACATTACGTATCTGATATTAACACAGTTGAGAAAGTCCAGAAATATTTCACAAGAAGAGTTCTCCAGTCCTCTACTTGTTGCAGAATACCTTATGCCACCAGACTCAAAATTCTAGACCTAGAAAATCTAGAACTATGTTGCCTTTGGTCCGATCTAAGTATCGTATATAAAATGATACATTGCAATGTCCTACCTGTCAATGAATACTTCAGCTTCAACCATAACAACACAAGAGCAAACAATAGATACAAACTCAAGGTTAATCGCACCAAACTTGATTTCAGGAAATACAACTTCTGCAACAGAGTGGTCAATGTCTGGAATGTTCTACCTGACTTTGTGGTTTCTTCCCCAAACCCCAAAAACTTTAACCTTAGACTGTCTACTATTGACCTCACCCCTTTCCTAAGAGATGTGTAGGGGATGTGAATAAGCGCACCAACGTGCCTACCGTCCCTGTCCTGTTGTTCCTTTTATTTTTTTTTTATTTTTCTTATATGTATCCATGTATTCATAACTATGTTTTTACTTACACCTATTATCTTGTAAGCAATTGACAAAAATAAATAAATAAAAATAAAATAAATATTTAAGATTTACTTCTATTTTTAATTGCTTTAGATTATTGATGCCACAGAAGTGTTTTCTAAGTATTTGGAAATCTCAACTTCCATGCAGATGGAAAATGACTTAATCATCACAGTAGAATTAAGGAACTAACATGCCCTGAACCTTAGACTTGTGTTTTTGCAATTTCTCAATAATAAAATATTTAAAGTTAACATCTCTAGTTTCTATATGGAGTGGTGTGATGGCCTAGAGGTGAAGTTCTCACCTCACAATCAGGAGGCTGTGAATTAGATCCTAGGTAGAGGCAAAAATTTCTCTATCTGGGCACAATAAAAATATATCTGCCAAAAAAAATCTTTGCAACAGGAAGGGCATCAGGCCCTTAAACACTCTCCTACCTCTTCAGTTGCCCAGACTTCACCCCGCAAGGGATTATGGGGATGTTAAAAGATGATGATGATCTCTAGTTTCTGTATTCACTAAATTGATGCACAACTATTGTTTAGTGACAGAGAGAGGAACTTTTCATGATAGCCCAGTCAGTTTGTCCTGGAGCTTTCTATTTTGGAAAGAGTAGAAGTACTGTTTTCCTGTAATTGTATCACTGAGTATAATAGCTACGCTAGGAAAATATTCCATTGAAATCATTCAGTTAAGTACAGAAAACAGGAATACGTCATATTGGAAAACAGGAATATGTCATATTGGAAATCATTAAGAAAAAACGATTGAATTATTCCTTACTGATTGAGGAGTGTTCCTGAATTTTGATCAGTACAATCATATTTTTCTTCCATTTTGTCTCACTTGGTGAAATTTAGGAAAATGATATGTCAGAACAAGTAGTCCTCAATTAACAACAGTAATTGGAAATGGAATGCCCATCACTAAGCAACCCTGTCATAGAGTGCAACATCATGCCAATTAAGTCGCAGAAACCCTAATTGCAGTGGTTAAGCAAATCACTGCAGGTTATTAAGTGAGGACATCGTGTGGTCCCCATTTGTGATTTCTTGCCAGCTTTCCCATTGACTGGATTTTGGTTGGGGTTTGTTTTTGGATTAGGTGGGTAATCTTTTTTCTTTGGAATCCATTGGCTGTTAGTACGTTAGTGAGAGCGTGTAGTTCGGTTTTTAGGTGTTGTTCGCCGGCTAAGCATTTTGTTCTGGAGATGATTCCAAAGAAACAAGATTACCCACCTAATCCAAAAACAAACCCCAACAAAAATCCAAGACAGAGAACAAGAGAACGGCAAAGCCCTCCTCCCATATATAAAAGGCACTACAGACAAAATCAGCAAGATCCTCCAAAAACACAACATTAAGACAGCATTCTGCATAAGCAGAAAAATATCCACCATCCTAAGAAACCCTAAAGACAGAATCGAGTTAGAAAACCAAGGAGTATATGAAATCCCATGCACTGCCTGTCCCAACACATACATCGGACAAACCAATAGAAGAATTAGTGCACGCATTGAAGAACACAAGAACTCAATCAAAAAAGAAGAACCAACCTCTTCCCTGGTCCAGCACCTCAAAGCCAAAGGACATGAGATTGACTTTAAAAATACCAGAACTATCGCCAAAATTCAACACTTCAAGAACAGAATAATCAGAGAAGCCATAGAGATAGAAAAACGCCCACACAGCATGAATAAACGACATAATACCTCCCACCTACCAGCCATTTGGAAACCTGCCCTCATTAACAAACGAGTACCTAACATGATGAATGATACCAGACCCACACGCATGAAGGCCACACAAGATGCTACCACCACACTTCCACGTAGAAAGCAGATTCACACCTACACAGATGATGAGACACGACCATGGACCAGAAGCCGTACCGCAGCTGCATCACTACCCGCTTCAAACCCCTCCGACCCATACATGAAGCAAACTGATGTCCAACATGAAGATGTGGCACGAACACGAAGCCAAACAACAGGATCACAGCTCACCAGCTCAAATCCCCCGACAAAGAAGACTAACCTGAACACAGCCAAGCCCCCACCTGAACAGACACATCCCCAGCCAATCAGAACACGGCCAACCCCCCAACCAATCAGATCACAGCCAGGCCCCCAACCAATGAGAACACACCCCCAGCCAATCAGAACACAGCCAACCCCCCACCCAGTCAAGCTGCACTCCCACTAGCAGTTAAAAGAAAAAACAGCTGCAAGCTCACATTACTCCGAGAAGCACAAAGCCGAAGACAAGCTTGAAGATGACGAAACGTCGCCAAAATACTTCCAATTTTACGTGGGGAAAACCCGAATAACCAAAGATCCACATACAAATACCCGCAAAAACCTCAGAAAACATATATATATGTTTGAATGCCATATATATATATATATATATATACATACATACATACATATACATACACACACACACACACACACACAAGATTGCAGACATGCCTAATACTTCTGATAATTGTTAATACTCATTGCTCAAAGTTATAGTGGGTTGAAGTTCCTTAAACCAAACTGTTCAGAGATTGAAATACTTCTGAAATGATTGAAATGGTTGGTTTTGACCTTGAAATGAGCGGTGTTTTACAATTGAGAAGTAAGGATTTCTTTGGCGTTCTAAATAATTGCATTAAATCTTTATCATAGTGATATTTAAATGGGACATAATTAACATAAATGATAGAAATTATATTCCTGTTCCTGCACCAGATCACATCATGATAATAGTAATTATTTTTAAAAAGTTGCCCGTTCTGTATTTCTCACAGCTTGTTTACACATTGCCAGGTTGAATGAGTTCAATATTTTTGTCAAAATGGATTCTGTGGAAAGGATCTTGGGATCTGTACAAGTACAGACAGTCCTTGACTTATAACAGTTCATTGAGTGACAGTCCTTGACTTACAACAGTTCATTTAGTGCAAAGTTACAACGGCACTGAAAAAAATGACTTACGATCATTTTTCACACTTAAGGCCACTGCTGCATCCCCGTGGTCACATGATTTACATTTGGATGCTTGACAGTTGACTCATATTTATGACAGTTGCATTGTCTCAGGACCATGTGATACAGTGGTGGGATTCAAATTATTTTTACTACTGGTTCTGTGGGCATGAATTGGTGGGCTTGGCAGGGGAAGGATACTATAAAATTTCCAGTCAGAGGTGGGATTTGCTGTTTCCTTAAACTACTCAAAATTTCTGCTACCGTTTCTGCAAAACTGGTCAGAACCTGCTAAATACCACCTCTGATGATGATACCCTTTTGCAACCTTCTGACAAGCAAAGTCAATGGGGAGGGCAGATTCACTTAACAACGGTGTTACTAATTTAACAACTGCAGTAATTCACTTAACAAATGTGGCAAGAAAAGTTGGAAAATGGGACAAAACTCACTTAACAAATTTATCACTGAGTAACATAAACTCTGGGCTCAACTATGGTGATATGTCGAGAACTGGGTGCATAATTTTACCATCAAAACTGCACCCAAACCTTGCAAAAATAATTGTAGGGTGTGTTCACTATTCCGAAGGCTTTTTGTTGTTTTTGTTGCATCATGATTGACTAAATGGCACAAAAACTTGTGGTGGATTTTGCAAACAATTGAGCTTACATTTGGTTAATTAGTTGTTCCTGTTTTTACATTTGCTACAGCTACATGTAAAGACTGGGTGATATCATTTTAAAAGAAATTTTATTCCCACAATGCAGTCTGAAGCATGGCTAGTTATAAAAATAGTATTTCCTTTGTTATTTGCCCGCAGTATTTTGTGTCTATTAAATCTCTAGTGGCTTTAGAAAGAAATGCCCTGAAAGGTCACATCAAAGCTTCACTTAGCACCTACTTTTCTAGGATAAAAAGACTTTCTTAAAAGATGTTGAGCTATTTTTCTCTGGCATACTTTGTTCTTCAGTGTGTCTTAGTTCTTTTCCTTTACTCTCAGATTGAGGTGTTTTCCCATTCTGAATCAGATTAGTGTATTCTTAATATGTGTTTAAAATGCTTTTGTTTTATTTTTGACAGGTTTGGGTAAAACAAAACGAAAGACAAGTGCTAGAGATGCCTCTCCAACTCCTAGTACGGATGCAGAATACCCATCGAATGGTAGCAGTGCTGATAGGATTTATGATCTGAACATCCCTGCCTATGTGAAGTTTGCCTATGTGGCAGAGAGGGAGGATGAACTATCTCTTGTTAAAGGATCTCGAGTGATTGTTATGGAAAAATGCAGTGATGGCTGGTGGAGAGGGAGCTACAACGGACACATTGGCTGGTTTCCTTCAAACTATGTAGTTGAAGAAGTTGACGAAGCAACTGCTGATTCGCCTAGTTTTCTAAGTTTGAGAAAAGGAGCATCCATGAGTAATGGCCAAGCCATGAAAATACTTCACATTGTCCAGACATTGTATCCATTCAGTTCTGTCACTGAAGAAGAGCTCAATTTTGAAAAAGGTGAAACTATGGAAGTGATAGAGAAACCAGAAAATGACCCAGAATGGTGGAAATGTAAAAATTCTCGTGGGCAAATTGGTCTTGTTCCCAAAAACTATGTAATAATCTTAAGTGAGGGTCCTACCATTAATACTTCCCACCCTCCTCAGATAAGCTACACAGGGCCTTCTTCTACAGGACGGTTTGCAGGAAAAGAATGGTATTATGGGAACGTTACTCGACATCAGGCAGAATGTGCTTTGAATGAAAGGGGATCAGAAGGCGACTTCCTTGTCAGAGACAGTGAATCTTCAGTAAGTAGCTGTCATTTCTAAATTAATTTATTTGTTTATTTAATCTAATTGCCCATCTCACCACAGAGGGGTAACACTGAATGGCTTACAATCATATACATTCACAATGATGTGATGCGTTGTTTTTAATTTTTTTCAGATATATAGTTTTTAATTGGATTTTCTCTTTGCAAATTTAAAATATATCAATGCATAAGCAAATGTTAGTAGGAAAAGTTAGTTTAATAGATTTGAAGTTTCAAGGTGCATGATAATTGTATTTGAATTCTCTACTTTATTATGGTTATGCTGCACGTAATTAATTTTCAAAAGATCTGCGTTCAGATTCTGTAGAAGCTCAACTCAGCAAAATTTTATCCACCTTTTTTTTTTTTGCATCCACTTACATACTTGCTCTTTCTGCTTCTGACTGTTATATGGAATTGTCAACAATTTCCAAAGAACAGCCATGTTCGCCCCTTTTACCAAAATATTTGAAATCTGTATATGTTTGAGAAGAATATTCTTGAAATCTAACTGCATAGCATTACAGCTAAAGAATCCTATGCTATTTTAAAGATTGACTAAATTTATTACAGCAGCAGATGTAATTGGCTACAGTTGAATAATTTTCAGATCTTTTTAGATGGGCTTTCTCTCTTGCCACTTCCTGTGGGTTTCACTCTACAGCTTTCTACAGATTCCACCTCAAGATGGACTTCAGTAATACTGAAAAATTTACAATTTAGATCAGGGTCGTCAAACTCAAGTTGTCATGGCAGCATCACATGACTTATTGGGACATTTTCCCCTTCGCTAAACCAGGCATGGGCATGGCTAGCATGTGACACAGCCGGGCCCATAGGCGGGGAGTTTGACAGCTCTGGTCTAGACCATAGTTAAATCTCTACATCTTTTTTTTCCTACTATTTCTGAATGTTTCATACATTGTACTAGTTTTGTTTTGTTACAAAAACTGATTTTTAGATTATATATTCTATGTGTTAAGCAGAGTTGATTTACAAAGTATATCCAAAATGTTTATTTTTTGTTGGTTTTGATTTAAAATTTATGATTGTTTGGTAGGAATACTTCATCAAAAATCAGTTTGCAAGCCTGTGAATCTAATACAGCCTTAACTAGGAATAAATAAGTTGTAGTAAACATGATGGAACAGTTTTGAATAAACATAAATATTTAAGGTATTATCAGCGGTTGATATATATTGAGATAGTTGTGGTTTTGATCAATCTATACAGTAGAAGCATTTTTTTAACTGAGCAATGAACATTGTTATTCATTTAGTTGTGCCATATAGTCAGTAAAATGATCAACAGCCTAGTTTGAATGTCAGTTGTCATTGAGAATTTATTTATGTGAAGATGTAGTAGATGTCTACAGCTGTTCCTGATGAAGTTTTATTGCCTTTCCTTTTGAGGATTGTGCATTATAAGTAGTCCTCATTTAGCAACCACAGTTGGGACTGGCAACTTGATTGCTCAGCAAAGCGGTAACTAAGTTAAATTGCAATTGTGCTTATAATCTTACTTCAGCTTTCTTTTCCTTTGCCTAACAGACTGGTGAAGGTCTTAAATATAAGGACTGATTGCCAAGTTAATTTTTTATCATCACCGTAATTGAATGATTGCTGAAGTAATCACTAATGGGTGATTGCTAAAAGACAACTACCTGTATTTTAAAAGACAATTCAAAACAATAGTTAGGGATACACTAATGGATGGTGAAGAAAATAGTTTTGCATTGTTACAAAGGTAGTCCTTTACTTATAATAGTTCATTTAGTGACTGTTTGAAGAGGTTACAACGCCACTGAAAAAAGTGACTCATTTCCATTTTTCATATTTATGATCATCACAGCATCTCCATGGTCACATGATTTATATTCAGATGCTTGACAACTGACTCACATTTATGATGGTTGAAGTGTCCTAGGGTCATGTGATCACCTTTTGCAAACTTCTGACAAGCAAGTCAACGGGCAAACCAGGTTCACTTAACAACGGTGTTACTAATTTAACTACTGCAGTGATTCAGTTAACCAACAGGGCAAAAAAAGTTGTAAAATGGGACAAAACTCACTTAAGAAATTTCTCACTTAGCAACATAAATTTTAGGGTCAATTGTGATTGTATGTTGAGGATTCCCCGTTCCTTGAAAAATTATGAATAACTTAAAATAAAAGAGTTCTCTGCTAATTCTTTGGCATATTCTTTGAATATGGAATGAGAAGTGCTCATTGAAATGGATAGGGAATTTCAGTCCTGTCAGTTGGAACCTCTGTAGAACTCATAATTAGGTAATTATGAGACCATTTTATTTTATCTGAAGTTTCAGTACAGAAGGGCAACGGTGATTTCAATATTTGCTTTACCAGAACTTTTTAGTTTCAGAAATAGCACACAGATTATTATACACTCATCATGACTTTTCATTGACCTTCGCTGACTCATCGTGTTCTTCGTACTTTTTAGCTGAAGAGCAACACAAAAGTTTTCCCTTGTGATCTTTTTGAATAAGTTTAGGACAGTTCCAAATTCTTAATGCCTTTGGGCAAGTAGCGTTATGCACTTTTAAAAAGATGCCCTGCTGCGCTAGAAGAGCATTTTGTGAACTACCCCAAATAAAAATCAAATGCAATATTTATGTTCAATTTATGAATTATAAAATTCAAGACATAGTACGCTCCATGGGCTAGAACAAATAGAAAGTATAACTATTACAGTATCTTCATCAAAGAAAAGGGAAAAAGCCAAGAGACTGTTCTTTCTGTTTTATATATATTCAAATGATAATTTTTTGACAGGGATAAAGCATTGATTGGTGAATTTAATTGCACCTTTACTGAGTGGATTAAGTCAGGAAGCCTTCCTGAACCTGGTGTCCTTAAATTCATTGAGCTTAAAAGTGCCAGAATTTTCAGCCAGCATACTACTAATTTGGTGATATGTATTATGAGAATGACAGCTATATGCAAAGCAAATTACATAATAATTGCCTGAAGATTTATTTCCACATTGCTGTAGCATATAGATGTAGAAGGAGGAGGAAAGGATGGGTTCTACAGGATCCTTATGAACTTTGATTCTGGCATGATTTTTCCTTTATATCAGAATATTATAGACACAAGTGGGTTTGATAGTTGGAATTGATTATTGCAGTTTATCTCAAATATTTTAAGTTCTCCCAAAATACCTTACAGTGCATGGGTTCTAAAATTATATTGGTAATATTATCCTCCCCCCCCCCTTTCTTACTTTTAATAAGATTTTTATTCTTTTCAATATATTCCAAAAATGTGTTTTAGTTTTCATTTAGTAATATTGGGCCTGGGATAAATTTCATTATCTGTAATGTTCCAAAATATGTGTATAAATATCCAGAATTAACCCATAGATAGAGCTGTGCTTATTTTTTAAAAAAGTATGAATTGAAACATAATTAAATATTGAAACGGGGGAGAGAAAACAGCATACTGTGTCACTAAGTAGTTATTATTATAGTTCTCTATGATGATTAAAGGGTAGGTTAGGTTTGTTAGGCCTTGCAAAGAAAGTACCAGGTTTCTTGATTAGGATGATGCTGTAATACAGGTAGTCTTTGACTTATGACCACAATTAAGCCCACAATTTATGTTGTTAAGTGAGACATTTGTTATGAGTTTTGCCCCGTTATATTGCCACAGTTTTTAAATTAAATCACTGCAGTTGATAAGTTAGTAACCTGGTTGTTAAGTGAATCTGGCTTCCCCATTGATTTTGCTTGTCAAAAGGTTGCAAAAGATGATCGCATGACCCTGGGACACAGCAATGGTCTTTAGTATGAGTCAGTTGTCAAGTGTCTGAACTTTGGTCACCTGATCCTGGGGATGTTACAAAGGTTGTAAGTGTGAAAAACGGTCATAAGTCACTTTTTTCAGTGTCATTGTAATTCTGAACAGTCTCTAAATGAACTGTTGTAAATCAAGAACTACCTGTAATGACACTGTATTAAACAGGAGGTTGGAGGCTGGCAGACCTGAGTCAATCCCTCTAATGGTTTTATTAGGTTACCACCTGTGGGTATTAATTTTGATTAGCTATCTGTATATGATGAAACAACGGAGCAAAGAAGTGAGATTTGTTTTAGGAATGAAAGGCAAGGGATAGAACGAAAGGAAGAGTAGAGAAAACATTTCCTAATTTAGTGCTACCTCACTTGTATCACAACAACAGTAATATTGATAAAAAGCAAGCTATTTCCCCAAATTATATACTTAGAGGTGTGAAATACCACGTTCATTATGTTCATGTTTATTAACATAATTTTATCTTCACTCTGCCTGATTACTAACGGTGAAGAGGTTTAATTGTTTTCATGTCACCTGATTCTCAAATTGTCAATTTTCCAGCAAAGATCCGAAAATATGGAAACTTGGAAAAATGCATTTTGAATTGTGACTATTTAGTACAGAACTAAAGATTGAAGCCTGTAAATTTATTTGTACATTTTTTTTAATTGTTGATTTTTGTTAATTGTTAATTTTTTAATTGTTGCTGGTTTTGTATTTATCATGGTAACTGACACTGATCAGCTACGCATTAGAGTTTGACCCATAGCAAGTAACTAGTTCAGATGTCCCCTTAAAGTAGCTGTCATGATTGCATGCAGCTCCGCTAGTCTTAAGCCTGGGAAAGATTGTTTGCAAACCATCCAGCTGTAGCAACCATGTCCAGTGGGAAAAGTCACAGACATATCTGCCAAGAACTGAAAACCCAAAAGGCAAACAGATGCAAACTATAAAAATAAACACTCTTGAAATGAGTTCAACGGAAGACAGCAGGGAATAGTTTGAAACTAACTTTAACCTTCACACACCATGCCAAGATGAAATCTTAAGATTTTATTAATTAAATATTCACAACAGGAAGAAGTCAAGAATACATTCAGTGACATATGTGTGTCCCCCCCCCCAATTTCCTGTTATTACTTAAAATATTTGCCCATTGTGAGGAGAAAGGTGGGAGCCTAGACCTTTCCTTTCCTTTCTGCAGAAGGAAGATTGTCAGAGCCTCTTGTTCAGTAGCACTTCTCTGAGGAGAACTAAAGATTTTTCCCCTCAAACCTCTTCTGCCCTTTTTAAGTATAATGCCACAGAAAACAAGGTCTTCGTTATTTGGCGGAAGGAAAAATGATAGGCATATGCATTTGAAGTGTAAGTATGAGAGTTTGGTTTGGAGAGCAATTATTAATATTCATTTTTCAGTAGAAATGTCTTTGACAGAAACATTTTTAATGTCTGCTTTGCAACTAATGAGTCTGAAAGAGCTGCACAGGCCCTGTTCAGCACGATTTTTCCTTCTCCGGATAAGCTGTCACTTGTATAGCACTCAATCTTAGCCATTATACTTTGTTTTCCATGGCTGTCATAATGCTCACTTTGTCCATCGAGAAGGAATTCTATTTCACATGTTAAAGTAATTGAAATTATTGCTTTGAATTGGCGGTATTAGAGCAGTGCACAAAGGAAATAATGTATTTAATCTTCCCTCAATACCAGCAAGTTTAGTTTATCTCCCACATTCTTTACTTACCAATGAGTATTTTATTTCAGCAAAAGTTAATACTACAGATCTATCAGAACAATGTTTCAATAGCCAATGAAACAGGTTTTCATACCTAGATTCAGTTTCTGTTCCCCAATTTGGAGTTTCCCAATAGTGATATAGTGGTAAAATTTAAATGTACAGGCATTTCATTTTTCCCCCACTGAAATAAATAATCCTTGAACATTACTGAACATTTGTCTCAGGCATTCTCTTCTGAATTGGACGTTTTTTCTTTTTGTATCTTTTAAAGCAGTGGTCCCCAAACTCTGTGAACCGGTGGTGGTGGCGGGAGAGAGAGGGGGGATAGTTTTGCATGCATGCCTGCCACTTGCGTGGCACAGTTCCCAATGGGCTGTGACCCAGTATCGGGCTGTGGATCAGAGATACAAGTGCCTTGTATTTTTAGCAAATAGAGTTTAGTATTACAAATTCTTGTTCCCATAATTTTTCTTGGCAATAGTTCCTGCATAATATGGAGAATGAGCAATAAGTTTGCTATTGGTAGAAAATTTGGGCAAATAAATTAATTTTAGAAATAAATGTATCTTCTACAATTAGATAGCCCAAAGTATTAGCATAATCAGTTTGCCTGGATAGCATAATGGAAAATTCAGTCTGTAAAATGAGCTTTATTCAACATAATTTCTAATAAATTTTAGGTCATTGTTTTGTTCTGTTTTTTTTCAGCTGAGAGATATGGCTTTCTACCTCTGAATAAGCATGCAGAAAAGGAATAAATTCAGAGTGAAAGCAAACAAGGATTTCAGGAAAAAGAAATACCGCCTCTGGGTTAGATCATAACAAGATTGGTCATCGTATCATTAAAGCTCTTTAAAATATCAAAATAGAAAAACATACTTCAGTCCTGAAAACCCCTATATCGGTATAAGCATGTGTTTACAAAAATACCAATTACAGCTTCTGTACACACTTCACAGATAGCCATGAGAGAACTTGAATTTACCTAATCCTTTAGCAAAGGAGCTATTGGTAACCTATAAAAGTAGTCTTCAACTTACAACTGGTTGCTTAATGACTGTTTGAAGTCATGACAGACCTCCCTGGCAGTACTTACGAGGCAGTTGTAAAATTCTGGCCAGTGGGGCCCCAATGATCACATTACTGCATTTCTGGCACTTAGCAACTGGCCCACATTTACTGCCATTTGCATCCTGTGTTTTATGATATTTTACCCCAAAAACAGCATTTACTTCTGGTTTTCAGGAAAACTAGCCTGCCTAACAGCTGTGGAGGTTGCTTTTAAAAAGGTAGCAAAATCAGGTCAGTCACGTGGGTGACCTGTTTTATGATTGTCACAACTTATTCCATTATGCTCCTTATGGAAGTAAGTCTTTCACCCTTTAATTCTAGAGAAGCGGAAAATAGAGAACATGTTTTTCTTTGTTGCTCCTTTTATGGAGAGATCAAAATGAAATTCACACTACCTCTGATTGATAGAGATCCTGGTCACCCAGATTCAGTGTATGGCTAGATCCTGCTCATAGATGAACTATGTCTTAGCTAGTATGTCCTTTAGACTTTGATGGGCCAATTGTAACTATCATTCATTTAAACCAGGGGTCCCCAAACTTGGCAACTTTAAGACTTGTGGACTTCAGCTCCTAGAATTCTCCAGCCAGCTTCTGGCTGGAGAATTCTGGCAGTTAAAATCCACAAGTCTAAAAGTTGCCAAGTTTGGGGACCCCTGGATTAAACTTTAGATATTGTAACTTTGTTGATATTAATAGTTTTAGATACTGTTGCTATCATTTTAAATGTGCTATAATTTTAATATTTACATTGTAATTTATTATAGGCTGCATCTTGGATCTCACTTATGGATATTAGATTGTTTTACAAATGTATTTTAATTCTGCCTTAGACTATTTTGTTTATTATCTGCATTGGTCTATTACAGTAACTTGGATGAATTAAATTGTGGTTGTAAGTTGAGCCATTTCTGTATCTAATTTACAAATCAATCGTTTGTACCAGTTTTGTTATTTGCTCCTGCATTGAACTAGGTAAAATAGCCAAAGGGAAATTAATGTTTCACTACACGAAATTGGAAATGAAAAAACATTTTTGAAGCAAGTCATTTTAAAGTGAAACAAGCAGACTATTGTCAGTAGAAAATCATTGCAGTCAGAAGCTAAATGAAACAAGAGGAAGGAAAGATTGTGTGTTCAAGAATCTTTGCCGAGTGATTTTTTTCCTCTTTACAAATAGTGAAAATAAGTTCATTGTTTGAAAACTTAATTCTTGTATAATTAGATAAAAGTAGCAGAGTTTTAAATATATTTTTAAACTAGTAATGTGGCACTGCACATATTTATCTTGGGCCTTGTTAAATATTGAATTGTTAAAACTTGTGTTAGGTACCCTTTAAAAAAATAAGGTAAGGCCCTCTTGTGGTCATGGAATTAAATGTAAAGCTAGAATAGTGACCTTATTTCTGCATTTAAATATTTATGTTTATTATTCTATTGCATAGAAATTTCTCTCTAGATAGTTGGAGACCTTTTGTTTAAATCGATAATATTCTGGGTAAATAGATTTATTTATATTAGTCTATGTTACTAACATACTGGATTAGCCACTCGGCCATTGATGGTAGTAATACACATTTTAAAATACTTAATTGTTCGTGTGTGTGTGTGTGGATGGAGTACAGATATTTTATCTTGTAACAGACTTTAAATCCCATGTTGTGCGCTGTCTAAACATTTGTCTTTCCTTTCTCTCTGCAGCCCAGTGACTTTTCAGTATCTTTAAAGGCTTCAGGGAAGAACAAACATTTCAAGGTGCAGCTGGTGGACAATGTCTATTGCATTGGTCAACGTCGATTTAATACTATGGATGAGTTGGTGGAACACTACAAAAAGGCTCCTATCTTCACCAGTGAGCACGGGGAAAAGTTATATCTTGTCAAAGCACTTCAGTGACGTTGAAGATGGACTAGGCCTGTTGGGGTCTTTTGTAACTTAAAAGCCTTAGGTCCTCAATCACTTTTATAGAGAGCAGGGCACTCTGCACCAGACACAACTGTCAGTGGATGGTCTCTTTCTGAGTATTTGCTCTGTTGGTTATATTCTCTTTTCCTCCTTGCTTTTCTCTATCCCCATTTTTGCCTATTAGTCTTTTTAAAAATTAAGTTGTTTTGAATCCCCTCAGGTTGAAAATTTCACTTATGTGGGCCATTGTAAGCACTCATTTTATTTCCTAGGTTCTTAACTCTTCTATGTATGTTTACAGAGTTAATCCAGATAAAGGAGGGGTGTTCTCAAGTGAGAAACAGTGTTATCAGACGGCTCCTATGGCAAAAATCATCATTGACAGACTGGGACAGTTGAATGCACTGAACCTGCAGCTAACTAAGTGAAATAATAGTAGACATAACGGTTGTGGCTGTGAGTTCTGTAGCTATTTTGCTTACCAAGTAATATATTTCTGAAATTCCTAGTTTCTAGAAGCATTCTTCCCACACTCTACTTCAACTATTACATTGCTTCTTTGGCTCTTTGTGAAGAGTACACTAACTAAAGCATTTTGTAATAGTTCTTCTCAAACTACTACGGTATGATTGTAGTAAAGAAAACTAGCGTATTTTGACATGTAATTTCAACTGAGATGTTTCATTGAAAGTTGATTATTTAGAGAATCATTGAATTGTAATGGTTGAATGTTTTGGTATCTACAACCAGATGTGCCATCCACATAATGCTTTCTCTTCTTGCCCTTCTGCTTGTTTGAATTAAACAGTTATGTATTTAATTCTTAAAGTAATATGTATCTGTAGCCGATTGACACTAATACAGAAGTTTAATAAACATAGCTAATTATGGGTGGGTGGGGCTTCCAGCACATACATACATAACATACATACATACTTACTTATATATATATATTTGCATAACAGAAAAAAATCAGGGTTTACAGAAGGTGGTGTGATTGATAGTAAGACACACAGAATGTTATATGAAGAAAATGAGTTTCCTTTGTGTTTCTTTTAACCTTCTTATGGTTTTAAATATAGTATTGATGGCACATTCCTGAAAATATTAAAAAAGGACCTTGTTGATCCTGGAAACTTGCATACCTCCCCCACCCCACTTTTTTGATATTGTAATAAAAAGGTATCATGTGAAGATGGAGTATTGAATTTATCCTTGGTAAGGGCATTGACAGTGATATCATTGTCAAATCAGTGCAAAGATAGCATTTCCCCTTTACATAAATCTGGACAAATCAAACATTTTGTAGTTTTGCTTTGTTGGAATAGCATGGATATCATTAACAGTTAACTTTGAATGAACATTTTTTTTTTATTAAAAGATGTTACAAAGATTTTAAAACCTACAGAAACACAGTAGAAGAATAGAAAAAGAAAGATTATAATAGGGTAAAAGGAAAAATGCATGGGAAAAACCCCAAGAAAAATATCTGATTTCTCATTTTGCAACAGTTACAAACGATCTCCACTGTCTCACATTGCATATGAAAGCTCCCTTCTTCTTATAAAAAAACCTTTTTTAATCAATCCTGAAACCAGCAATTTGTTTTTGTCCATTTTCAGCAAAGTGTCTACACAGGGTTTCCACTGTTTATAAAAATAGTTGTAGTACCTTCCTTAATGAAACAAATCAATGTAGCCATCTCTGCAAACACAGCCAACTTCATACTCGATTCCTCCATTATTGGTGTTTCTGTGGTCTTTCATCTTTGTGCATATAATAGCCTTCTGCAGTTACCATGTATATACCAATTGTCCATGATCTTTTTCAGTTGATTGTCCGTAAGTTCTAACAAGAAAAGTTCTGGCTCCCAAAACTCTGCATCACTAAATGTATTTGTGTCCAAATTATTTTTACTCCTTCACAACTCTTGGTAAAATGTCCGTTCATGTTTTTCACATTTCCAAAAACAATTAGAAGTAACTTTAACAATTTAGACATTTCTGTGGTGTCATATACCAACATTACATCATTTTTTTTTTAAAAAAGTGTTCTTTTAAATTGTAAGATTTTTTTAACCACATGGTCTCCCATATTATCCATTTGATTATTATAAACAAAATACTTGGCTCATTTTATCATACCTTTTTTTAACTCAGTTCAAATCTCAATAAAAGTTTATACATTTTAGCAATTAAGTGTTCACTATTTGTGCATAACTAATTTTCAAATGCCATTTCATCTCAGTCTATCTCCGGTCCTTTTAAATATATATTAAATCTTACTCTTCATTGGGCATATGGAACTATTGAAAATTAAACCCCTCTATGGTTAATTGTTTTCTTGATTTCTTCTTAAATTCCCCCATCTCCCTGTAATAGCAAGGCTTCATATATTTACCATTTGTTTTTACCCACTGTTTAAAACACTTCACAAGTATTTTCGTGTATAACTGGATTTGTATTTATTCCATACTTTTAGTATGGCATTTGTATATAATTTTCATAATTTATATTACCATATTGTAAGTAATCATGCCACCCAAACCTCAGACCATCTAAATCTAAAAATCTCTTTATTTCTTAATAACTGCCAATCCTTTATCCAAGCCATAAAGCAGGCAAGAAAATACAATTTAAAATCAGATAATCTCACTCCTTTTTTCCTTTGCATCTTGGAGAATCTTATATTTAACCCTTGGGGTTTGTTTTGCCCTGCCGTATGAATCTGGATATGTCGTTTTCCACTGTTTAAATGGTAGTTCAGTTCTCAAAACAATATTGTCTGAAGTAAAAAAGAAAGAAAGAAACATCCTAGATCAGTGGTTCCCAACCTTTACAGCTTGATGGCCTGGCTGGTGGGGGTTGGGGGGGAGAGAAAAAACGGCTCACCCAAGTGGTGGGTCAGCCTGCACCTCGTGGAAGCTGAGCTCTGTGCATGTGTGTGTGTGAGAGACAGCCCACTGCTCGCACAAGTCAAGCTGTTCATGCACACATGAGCCAAACAACCATTTTTGTGGCCTAGTTACAAATAGGCCACAGCCCAGTAGTGGGCGCAGCCTGGGGGTTGGGGACTCATTTTTATCATAGAAATTCTTCACAACAGTGACAATTGTAATTTTCCCCATCTTAACAAATCCTTCTTAATTTCATTCTATTTTTTAACATTTCTGTCTAATGTGTATGTATATTAACCATTATAGTTAGTATAGTATATGTAGTATGACTAGTACTATTATTTATAATTTTTATTATCTTTTTTGTTTCTTCATTTTATTGATATTATTGTTATTATTCTCTCTATTGCTTTGAAAGTACAATGAGTGCTTCTAGGGGACTGGGGACAAATTCCTTGTGTATCTTATCACACAATTAAATCAAATTCTGTTTTCCTTTAGGTGTTATTTGTGACCCTGTGCTACTATGTGGTATCTTTTCATTATCCAAAATGGAATATATTAAGGTTGTACTGGGGACAAATTCCTTGTGTATCTTATCACACAATTGAAGAATTCAATTCAACATTTCAAATAACATATAATTTATGTTAGTTATAATAATAGACAAATATGTTAATTTTTATCAGTCTGAAAATTAGTTTTTACAAATAAGTCTTTTTAACTTTCCATCTTCATATTCTTTGTCAGTATTTTTTCCTTATTAATTTTAAATCCAGCCAACACAATTTCTTCTTAGTTTTCCCATTAATACCTCTTAAACGGTTCTCCAAAATTAAAACCAAATCATTGGCAAATGCCCTTAGTTTGTGAACTTCTTTTTCACTTTCATTCTAGCCATTCTTTTATCTTGTCCTACATCTCTGTTCAAAACTTAGAGCCAGAAAGAATGACAGCGGAGAAAATGGGCCTCCCTGCCTCATTCCTTTCTGCATTTCTCTATTTTATTCGGCCTTGATCAAGTCTCCATTCATTATTTTTTTGCCTTTTGTGAAGTACAGTATACATTCATTTAACCCATGCAATAAAATTTTATCCAAAATCAGTCTTTCAAAATTATAAACAAAAAAGTTTAAATTCTCAAAAACTGTATTTATGTCAAGAAATATTAAGGCAGCTTGTTTTTCACTGTATTGCTCCAAGTACTCTTAAGAATATTCCAACGTTTCCTACCAACATTGGTCTTCATGGGTAAATTCTTGTAAAACATTTTCAGCATTTAGACTAAGATTGTCGTTATAGTCATTATTCAAGAATCATACTGACTTGTAACAAAGTCAAATTCTGTTCTCCTTTAGATGTTATTTGTGACCCTGTCCAACTATGTGGTACCTTTTAATTATCCAAAATGGAATATATTAAGGTATTATTTTTTTTTGCAAAGCTAATGAAAGTTCATTTCAAACTATTTATAACAAGTTGATAATCCATCTGGACCAGGGGCTGTACCTTTATTCTTCTTTATAGAATCACAATTTTCATTTATTGTTAATGGTCCACTTGTTCATCTGTGGGTATCAGTTAACTTGGCAGGTTTTGTTTCTTAAATATTTATCTTCCCCGATGATGACATTTCTCTCTTACATAGTATTATATATCAGTGTTTCCTTTGACAATATAATTCAGTTTTCTCATTTTGTTGTGTTAGTATTTTGTTTTCCTCCCCTTTCTCATTTCCTGGGTTATTTGTTGATTCAAAGGTTTAATGAAATTGAATTTTATTTCTATCTCTGACAACATTAACATAGAAAGCTGATACTGTAGGAATTTAATTTTCTGTAACATATTTTTCCCCTTGGAGATCTCATTGGTTCATCCTCTTTTATGTTTAGATCCCTTAGAATCACTTACATATTTCCTTGATCTTTTTATTTAATTTGTTTTTGTTCTGTATAAATTATCCTATATAGTATGGCATGCCATACTATTATTGAGATTATTCTAAAAATATATTTAATATCCTTTTACATTTTTCTGTATTAGATCACATTTCATTTAGTCTCCTATTCTAGCCTTCTTATATATTAAAATAATAGAATTGTGGTCAGAGTAATTCTTTGGAAGTATTTCAATTTTGTTAACACAAGTGGCCAAATCTTTAGCAACCCAGAACACGTCTATTCTGTAGAAAGATCTATGTCTTTCTGAGAAATTAGGATATTCTTTACAATATCATTTTATGTCTCCATATAGCAATCAATTTAAGATTATCTGTTTTCTGAAAAATATTTTTGGTAGTTTGCCTTGTATCATTTCAATCTCTTTTGGTGATGTTCTGTTTTGTGGGCAGACTTCCATTCTATCCTCCTATTAAGCACAATTTTTCATATGACAGCTCCGTTAACTTTGCCTCAAGCCTGTTGGAAAAAAATGCAATTTTAATTGCATTTGGAGCATAAACAGGCTTTCCCCTCTAGTGTTTTGACTAGTTGGTTGTTGGTTTCTAGTATTTGAAATTTAATTCCAGGCTGTAGCTAGAATTGTGGCAGCAATAATAATAGCTAGATTGGATACTGCACAGATTATCACTGGTAAATTAAATCATGTTTAAATCGACTTGTAGTGGATACTGCAGAAGAATAGGGAAGACACTTTGTCAAGACTATTAAAAATCTTTGTGAGGTGGCTTAAAAAGATAGATAAGTAATCACGGATATTAATATACTGCATGAAGAAAATCTCTTTGTTCAGAGTTAGCATAACACTTAATACCATGGCCTGGGAGTGCTGTAACCTTCAAGAACTCTGCCCCCCCTCGCCCCCCCATGTTTTTCTGGAGACATTTGATTGGCCATTTAGTAGATAAGAACCCTGAATTGGATGAACGTTCAAATGATTTAGCAAAATCAGTTTTACAGTTTTACACATTTTGCTGTGGTACACTTCTCTGGAGTCACACAATCATCTAAATGTCCTTTAGATTGGTTTTAAACACATTAAAGCAAAACAATCTTAAATCATTTGCACTGATACTGGTCAAACTATAGATAAACGGTGCTCACTTTTGCAACCTTTGTGTTAAATAACTTTAAATCCAAGTCTGCATACTCTCCGTAGTTTATGTGTCACAGCTGTTAATGTGTCCAATTGCAAATAGTTCAAAACTAAGATATTTTAAAGCCAACTAAGGAAGTTGTTCCATTATTCTGATATCCTGTCTTAACAGAAGCTGGCGGCAGACACTCCAAGAATCTGTTGGCAAAAGTTAAACTTTTGTTCAAAGGCAAGTTTCCTTTCAATCTCCACCAGTTAATGTATAACTTAAGTCTGGCATGTATAAACAATTTATTTACAATGAGTTCAGTTCATCTAATTTAACTGGATTGTTTCATCACTGAAGGTAGTACTTATTTTTTTTTGTCTTGCTTAGTTCTTGGCTTTCATATGGTCACCAATCTTCAGCAGAAAGAGCCCTGTGTTTTGAATGTGTTGCTATTGTGTTTTTATTGTATTTTGGGAGAGAGTCAGAAACATCTAAAATTATTTTCAGAATGCCATTTAAAATTGATTTTTGAATAGAAGCTCAAACTCGTGTATGAATAGTGTGATCCACTAAGTTTTGCTTGTTTTGCTATTAATGTTGAGCTTCATTTTAGCGTCATTTGTGTGATTCTTAATTTATGGTGCTCGTGATACTTTTAAGGAATCCCATATTTATTTCAGTACAACCAAATATTTTTGCTATTGCTAACATGCAAAAGCCCTATCAAGGCTTTATTGTTTGAATTAACATAGAAGTAGTCCTCGATTTACAACAGTTCATTTAACAGTGGTTCAAAGTTACAATAATTTGAGAAAAAGAGATTTACAGTGTGTCCTACCTCTTACAACAATCACACTATCCTCTTGGCCGCATGAGTGCAATTTGGGTACTTCATTTACTACCAGTTATAGCAGTCATGTGATTGCAATTTATCAACTGGATGGATTCGCTTAACAATTATGTGATTCACTTAACAACTGCAGTAAAAATGGTCAGTCATATGATGACTCTATGACTGCACTGACTTGCAATAAAAACTCTGGTCCCAATTATCATGAGTCAAGGACTACCTCTAGTTCCTTCTAAAACGTTGAACTGTATGTCTAGATTACTACTCTTGTCTTCTTGTAGGACTACATTGTTCTGTTATATGTGCTTTTAATGATGGCAGAAAGTCAATTAAGTGAGCTTCCTACCCAGAAAATGTAGGTGGTGACTTCCAGAACTATCCCATTTTAGCTTCAGAAGTTTAAGTCAAGACTTTGATTGTTGCCCAGCATTTTTGTTTTCATGTTCTGCAGCTCATAATTACTAGGTGGTGATGGATAAACCAAGCAGTTGCTACCGTAGTAGTTTGGGTTCCTTAAGATGGCTGTAATCTTCTACTGGCTAGTGG